GAAACGTCTACGAGCTAGAAATCTAAGTCCAGTTGATTTTTTTTCTAGGGTTTTTCAGTATAATAAATAATTGGATAACATAGTATGGATGCTTTACAGCATCTATACAATAATAAGGGGAAAACATAGTGTGGATGCTACATCCACACAATAAATAATTGGATAACATTGTATGCATGCTTGTCAGCATCCATACAATAAAGATTAGGATAACATACTGTGGATGCAGCATTACTGCATCCACACAATAAATAATTGAAAAACATAGTATGGATGCTGAATCAGCATCCACACAATAAATAAAGAACAGGAGAGCATAATGAAAATATAAGTATATGTAGTGTTATTATTAAGTCAGAGGGAGAGAGATGAATGTGGCTGTTTCATGGTGATCCCAGACTGAGTAGTTCTTTAGATTGTGACAGGCTGTATTGTCAACCTGTAGTAGCAAAAATGTATTTGTAAAATAAATGTAGAATATTAAGTAATTTCTTCTGAACTGTCAATCACATTTAGGTAGATGAAATACTTAATTTGTTTTTCGAGTAAAATATAGAACTCACTGGTGAAATACAAGTCTGTAAAATGCATGATGCTCGTTTCTGAAGTCAGAAAGTAATTGTGTTAAATAATTGTCATCTCAATATTGACCAAAAGGATTGTGATATATTTGTTCCCATACCTGTGCAGCCCTAACCTACGGACATTATACTGTAACACACACAATGCTGTGGCACAAATGATGAGCAATTGCGGTAAACGTATCCCATTATTGATGCAGCGTATGACACATTGAAGTGGCAGGACTGTATGTAACTGTCATTTTTTACATTTAAAAATACTGTAAATTTACAACACAAATTGAATCCTTGTGAGGATGCATGTTGCCTTTTTCTTTTTTTATTAGGTTGTGGCTGAGAAACAACGAACCTGAAGTGAAAAAGAAGCACAGTGCTAGTCTTCCCCGAAGAGAAGAGCTGAACAGACTGAAGAAGGAATTGTGTTACAAATTTGATCTGGCTGATATCAGGTACCCTCGATTCAGTTGTTTTTCCTAACACTGGATAAGCACTGTCAGAGCTGTTAACAATACTATATCCTCCCTGATGATGTCTGTCCACTGGTCTAAACAATCTGATATGCCTTGTTCTAGGGGTGTGCAATATGACAATATTGGATTGTGAATGATTAAAATGCCTCCATAATCTGCCTTTATAAAGACATTGTTTGTAGTGTGAATTCTGTCAGTTGCTGTTCTATAGCCAACATGCAACTTGGCATAATGTAGCTTCATGGATGTCAACATGGAGGAGTTGGTCCCAAAAAGAATTTGACATTGATAATATGGAACTGGTTTGAATTTCCCAAAACTGACATGGCACAAACAACAGGTATTTCCAAATTTTGCAAAGGTAGCATTCAAATGTTGGATGGCAGTCTGATGACCTTAAACAACTCAGGAGAAAACACCCGAACAAGTATGCTGGCAGTCTAACAGTGACAGGACCTCCTCTGCATGCATCCGCTACAGTTATAAAGCCGTCAGTTACATGGCTAAAATCAACTACTAACTAACAACTAATTTGAGAAAGGCACTCCATATGACAGAACAAGTAAGCACCAGAAAGAGGTAACTGATGGAGTGACATTTTACCTGGCCAAGGATAGGTTTCCTAAAAAACTGGAAAAATGAGAATTTAGTTGTTTCACGGTATGAGATAGCCACCCACAAATATTTTTCCAACATAGCCATTCTGCTGCTGTAGTACAACACACAGTAACTGATTTATGGTCTTGTGGCACTGCTGAATGGGCTTCTGTTATTTTCTTGTTAGATTTTATTACCTTGTAGAGTTTTGTTTTGGTTTTTTTAAGTAGGGAAAAAAATTGATTGTCTGTACTCTCCTGGATGGTACGGTATTTTCCACACAGAAGTTTATGTAATCAGAAACACAGTGTGTGTGTGAGGCCGTCTATGTCCTTTCCATGAGGACTGCAGAGGATGTCCCAGTCTGTGGTGTGAAAACAGGCCCTCAGCTGCTCGATTGCCTCCTCTGTCCATACCTTTACTACCCTGACCTGTGGTGACACCTTTTTCACCACTGGAGTATACACAGGAAGCAGGTGGACAAGGTTGTGGCCAGAGCGACCTAGAGGGGGAGGGGGGCGGAGGTGTATGCATTTCTTGCATTTGCATACAGTAGGTCCAGAGTTTTATTGTCCCTCGTGCGGCAACTAACATACTGTTTGAAGTTAGGGAGGGTGGCAGAGAAGGGGAGGGAGGCATGGTTAAAGTCCCCTGAGATGAGGATTAAAGCATGTGGGTGTTGTGTCTGCAACCTAGACACGGTGTCCTGCGTGCGCTTGCATGCAGCAGTAGCATCGGTGGAGGGATTTATGTACACCACGATTACATGAGTACTCCCTGGGAAAATAGTACAGCCGTGCACTGACAGCTAATAGTTCAATGTCTTTGCTACAGAATTTTTCCGGAACAGTAACATGTCCCAGATTGCACAATCTGTTATTTATGTACACAGCTAACAAACACATAATGCTACTCTCCCTGTACACCCTTTCCACTCTTGTCGTCTATCTTGTTGGAGAGGGACCGGACGTTTCCCATAAACGCAATAAAAAGTTGTACTCCTAGTAGCACTACTCCACAGAGGCCTACAGAAGAAGTATAACAAAGCAAACACGGAAAGCACAGGAAAAAAATCACAAGAAAACACAAAAGAGGACAGAGCTGCTGGAACTTGCTGCCAATCCGTGTGGCGCCAGAAGTAGTAAGATAGTTAGTTACAAGGACTGGAGCTGTTGAAATATAGCTCACACTTCTATTACCATGTTCCATATTCAAATGATAATGGCATATTTTGTCACAATGATGTGTGGTGCAGGTGGCAGCGCAGTTGGGGAGTGGACCACAGGTGCTCTCAGCTTCGAAGTCTGAGCCGACTATCTCAGCAGAACCCTGAGGTCTTGATCAACCTGCAAGGTAGAGTTTCAGTGAGGAGAGGACATCTTTTTGTACTAACAGCTAACAACTAATACATATCTCTATACTCAGTGTGTCTGTTTGCCCATAATATGTGATTTAGTCATTGTTCTCTTCCATATTTTCATTTCTCTCTGCTTTATTTATATCTGATTAGATAAATCAGATGTGTTCTTTTGTCATGTTGACATTCTGGGTGAATATTTACTACTATTTGTTCAGTTTATGATCTTTTCCTGTGGTGTCCCCCAAGGATCTGTGCTTGGTCACATTTTGTTCTCTTTGTACATGCTCCCACTGGGATCTGTCTTAAGAAAATATGGCCTTTCTTTTCATTGTTATGCTGATGACATTCAGATTTACTTACCATTAATGGCATCATTACAGCCACTATTTGACTGTCTGACAGACTTGAGATCATGGTTGGCACTTTATTTTTGTTAAGATTTAAAAAGTTAAGTAATGTAAATAAAGAGTATGTGCTATTTGGTGACCTGGCGAACTTAACTGCTTCTAACCAGGGTTTGGGCCCCCTAGCTCGACATCTGAAGTAAACTGTAAAAAATCTAGGGGTGATGTTTGATGGCAACTTGAGGTTTGACAAGCAAATCAACTCAGTTGTGAAATCTAGTTTCTTCCACCTGAGGCTGTTAGGCACGGTCAAGTCATTCCTTTCTTTTAATGATTTTGAGGTTGCAATCCATGCTTTTATCACTTCTAGCCTTGATTATTGCAATGCTCTATACCAGTGGTTCTCAAAGTGTGGGGCGCGCCCCACTAGTGGGGAATAAAGACATGACAGGTGGGGCGCAATGAACGGAAAAAATTGGAAATGGGTCATTAATACAAGTAAATTAAACTAACATCAGTTCGGGGCCCAGGAGAAATACTATAATACACACACTGACTAGTTAAAAAATAAATTATTAAAGGTGACGAAAATCAGTGAACACGCTAAACATTAAAAGCTTGTTTAAAAAGATGTGTTTTTAACGCTGACTTAAACGCTGCCCGCTCAGTTATCGAGCATATATCTAAAGGCAGGGAATTCCACAGCCTAGGGCCATGCACAGCAAAGGCGCGACCTCCCCATTTTTTGTAGTGTGCAGGGGGAACGACAAGAGCAAGGTGACCCGATGATCGCAGGGTTCTGCTAGCCAAGAGGTCAGACAGGTACGGATGGGCAAGGCCGTGCATGGCTTTAAAAACATAAGGCAAAACCTTAAAATCTACTCTCTATTTAACGGGCAGCCAGTGAAGAGATAGCAGAACCGGAGTGATATGGGCATGCCGACGAGTGTTTGTCAGCAGACGGGCAGTCGCGTTCTGAACAAGCTGGAGCTTGGAGAGTGATGACTGGGATAACCCGGAGTACAGGGCATTACAATAGTCAAGCTGGGAAGTCACAAACGCATGAATAGCTTTCTCTAAGTCACTATGAGAGAGAAATGGCTTTACCTTTGCTAGCAGTCTTAGCTGGCAGAAGCTGGATTTAACCACTGACTTGATCTGCTTATCAAAGTTGAAATTGACGTCAAAAATTACCCCCAGATTTTTTACCGCATTAGAGAGCAGGGGGGCATATGTGCCAAGATCAACTGCACTTCCATCCAACTGGGGGCTGATAACAATAAATTCAGATTTGCCTTCATTTAAGTAAAGGAAATTCTGACTTAGCCAAGTTTTGAGATCCTGTAGACAGTTTTATAATGCACCAAACAAACCTGACTCTGATTGAACCAGCGGCATATAGATTTGAATATCATCAGCATAAAAATGGAAGGGAACATTGTGACTAGATATAATGGCGGCAAGTGGTGACAGATACAGGGAAAATAGCAAAGGGGCCAGAATGGAGCCTTGGGGGACACCTGAAGTCAGGGAAGCTGCGCCGGAAGAATGGTCACCAATCATAACCGAATAGGTTCTATCGGTAAGATAGGACTCAAACCACCTTAGCACCTCCCCTCCCAGGCCGAAAAGGTGCTGGAGTTTTAAAAGTAAAATGGAGTGGTCCACTGTGTCAAATGCCGCAGTTAAGTCCAGCAAAGCTAAAATAACTGGGCGTCCAGCATCCAAGGCTAATGCAACATCGTTATGTACCTTGAGTAAAGCAGACTCCGTGCTGTGTCGAGCCCTGAACCCAAATTGAAATTTATCACCCAAATCTAAAGATTTTAAGTGAGTTTGCAACTGAGTAAGCACCAACGTCTCCATAACTTTAGCAAGGAAAGGCAATAGGGATATTGGCCGAAAATTTCCTAATACCGTGGTGTCAAGGTTGGGCTTTTTAAGTAGTGGTCTAACAACCGCATGCTTAAGGGTCGAAGGAACCGAACCAGAGCTCAAGCATGAGTTAACAAAGTTGACCAGCCCAGGGCCAATACAATCAATAACCTTCTTTAAAATCTTCCCTGGTAGGGGATCAAGCGGAGAAGCAGTGAGTTTGAGTTGAAGCACACATTTTTTAAGTTCTGAGAGGGACACATGAGCAAACGAGGTAAAGGTATCACCGGGGTAGGACACAGCTGGGGCATAAGGTGAAAGATGTAGAGGACTCACTCTGATGGCCCAGACTTTTTCACTAAAATGCAATAAAAAGTCGTCACACAAAGTATTCGAAGCTTCAGAAAACACAGCACTAGAGGGATTGATAACCGAGTTTATAGTCTTAAAAAGAACTCTCGGCTGATGCCTATTCTCCGAGATAATTTGGGATAGATACTGAGACTTAGCATTGCTGACAGCTCTCTGATAGTCCTGGCAACAGGCTCTTAGGATGTCTAAGGAGACTTGCAGACCATCCTTCCGCCATTTCCGCTCTGCCTGCCTGCACCGTCTCCGATAGGCCCGCGTGACGTCATTCAGCCAAGGATCAGAGAGGTTCCTAGTTCTTTTCCTCCTCAGCGGCGCAACAGAATCCATAATCCGGACACAGGTGGTATGAAACGCAGAGAGGAAAGTCACTTGAGGTATCGAGGAATGCTGCGTTTCAGTGAAGTGTAGGTCTGCTGCCAAGAAATTAGCAGCAAAGTCTGCCGATGTAGAAGAGGTAATAATCCTCCGAGTCTGACCAAGGGTCATCTGGGTGGGGGCCGACTTGGGTCCCTGAAGTTCAAAGCGAATAACCCAATGATCGGAGATGGCTAAATTAGCCACATCGCTAATAGAGATAGTCAGACCTCGAAAAATAACCAAGTCCCGCTAATGGGTGGGGGAGGAAACAGCTTGAATGAAATCAAAAGACTCCAGGAGAGCATTAAAATCCTTAGCTAATTGATCTGAGGGGTTGTCCACGTGAATGTTAAAGTCACCACAGATAAAAAAATAGTCAAATTGTGGGACAAATGTTGCAAAAAAGTCCCCAAAGTCAGTAATAAAATCCTTTGATTGAGGAGGGCGGTATATGACTAAATGGGGGACTGCTGGAGAAGAGTAAAAGCTTGGAACTCAAAACTGGGATAGGTTTTTCCCTGGAGAAGGCGGCATTTAAGAGTCTGCTTGAATACTGACGCTACGCCCTCTCCCAGTAAGGCAAGGGGTATTAAAAAATAAATAGCCCGGAGGCAACAATTCAGAGAAAATAGAATTATCTCCATACTTCAGCCAGGTTTCAGTCCAACAAAAATCATTAAGAATAAACATCTTATTGATAATTGATCTGAGGGGTTGTCCACTCATTAAAAAGGGGTTGCATTAAAAAGAGCAAAGCGAAGCAGACTTGGCTTGTCCTGTGCTGAGTCGGAACGCTTCAAAGGGTGAATATTGACCGGAGAGTGCCTTCGTTCAGAGCTTCTCATCAGTCGGAAGTGCGGGGAGGGCGGATCTGAGCCCAGGCCGATGGGTTTAAGGAAGCGGTAGCATTCGACCAGGGTTCCACTGGAGGAGTGACAGCCCCGTTCTCTCAATCTCCCAGTTGCCAAGGATGATGAAAGCGAAGACTTCAGCCTACAATGGGTTCCAGACCTCCTTCCACGACGTCGCCGGTGGAATGCTCGGGGCGAACAGCCATCCGAGCGCCGAAGAAACGGGGGGATCGAGGTCGGCGGGGGTGGAAATGAGTTGGTTTGGTAGTAACGATGTCTGCTCAGGCGATCAAACATAGAATAGCGTATTTCTGGGAGCATATGGCAGTCATATATCAGAGTGGGAATAACAGTAGTAGCTTCAAACATGCAGAAACACAGTGCACACAGGAGAAGCCAGCGGCAGGCCCAACACAATGGCGCCATCTTGAAACTCCTCCTTTCAAGTAGCATTATTTGCACATGTCCAATAAAATGGAAAGCCTCCTTGCTCCTCCCAACACGAATTGGAGAACTGAGATATCCTAAATTATAGCAGGCCACATTAATTTGTGGGCCAGCCTAAGGAGACATGAAACAAGGTAAATGAGAAGTGTTGTGCTCCAGCAGACTCAGAGGTTAGAGTTCACCCTTTTTCAGCTTTTCCCTCTGAATTCACACATTTGGCAAATTGAAACAGGGATATCCTGCATTTTTTAAGGTTTTAATTTTGCACCGCTTCCATCTGAACCATGGTCTGATTTCTACAGCAGTTTTTATTTAGCTGTACTACATAAAGGCAGCAAAACAGACTTCTGTACAGTAGATGTTAAAAGTGGTGAACTCTTTAAGCAACTCCACTTTTTTACAGGACACACTGTTGTGTTTGCTGACCAGTCAGGAATGAACGCTTATGGACATGTGATGCTGGGAACAATGGACGTTCATCATCAGTGGACCAAGGTAATGCAGCTGCAGTGCCCCTGCTGTCACGATCTCTGTGTGCCTCTGTTTTCTGACCCCTCCTGTCTGTGTTTCTTAGTTGTTTGAGCAGCTGCCCAGCTATCAGAGCCTGCTGCAGCAAACAGACTGGCTGAAAGAGAGGATCAGCCTCCTCCTTGGTGGCACTCAAGTGGTCCACATGGAGAGGCTGGGAACAGTTCAGCCCATCACTGAGCACTACAGGACCCTCAACACCTTCCACAAGACCCTGATGTCCCGACACCTTCGCCTGCACCCCAGGAGTCTGCAGGGTCTCGCCATGTTGTTGGAGAAGTAAGCTATCACAGTACCATCTGTTGAACACCTCAACCACAAGTCACTGGTGTTTACTTTGTGTAAGGCATTCCTTGTTGTTGGTGTCAATCACAGTGACCGCTCTAACCCTAGTCTTCATGAGATGGGGCACTTCCTTATCCCCACCAAATGTGACCCTCCTAAGCTGCAGGTCTTCCTCCAGCGCCACGCTCTCAAGGCCAGACAGCGTATCCAATGCAAAAGCCAGTAAGTTAAACATACCATTTCATTTTTGGTACAGTGGTACTGAATTTAAGTGACATACTTTCCCACTGAGGTGTGTTTGCAGTGCCCTCATGGTGTGCATGCAGTAGGAATGCAGAGGTTTTTGTTTTTTGTTTTTTGTTTACTCTGTACCAGCCCTTGAAAACCCAACATGCAGTTCTCTTTTTTGCCTCCAGGTGTCACAAAATTGCTCTATCATTACTACTCTATAGTTTGTGACTATAAAGAGGAAACCTAAATCAGCTTGTGCATTGTCTCACCATATTTTGTATCAGACTGTGAAAGATGAATGTTCTGTTACACAGGGTCTCACATATTTACTCCACAATCTATTAAACATGGTTAACATCATGCCACAAGGCAATGAAATAGTAAGCACCACTTTGCCAAACAAGGTAATTGTCATAAAGGTATACCTTTACAAACCTCAGACTAATTTATAACACAGTAATCATCCTTTGTACTGGACACTAAATGTTATGGCGCAAATGCTGCTGTATTTTGTTTTATAATATTTACAAACTAAAACATGAGAGAATAGAATTAAGACTGAAAAATTATTGTAAAACTGGGATTATATAAAAGACTTCCCCAAGCTATTGTAAAGTAGACTGAATGAAGAAGGAACCAGAAACAGATTTTTCCTTTTTGTGCATGCTCTCTGTACCCAAATACATCACATGACCCTAGAGTAGATGTTTTTTTTTTTATTATAGAACACAACACACAATTATTTATAAGTTGACCAAAGCCCATCCTAAATTGCCCTCAAGATCAGTAATCTATCTAGCCATCTATCCATCCATCCATTACCTATACCGCTTATTCCTGAATAGGGTAGCTGGAGCCTATCTCAGCTGGCAATTTAGAGTCCCCAACAAACCTAAGCTTCCTGCCTTTGGACTGTGGGAGGAAGCCAGAGTACCCAGAGAAAACCCACGCAGGCATCATGCAAACTCCACACAGAAAAGCCCCAGGTCAGCCAGGACCTTCTTGAAGTAAGGCAACAGTGCTAACCCCCATGCCATTGTGCCACCCATAATCAATCAATCAGTCAATTAGTCTATCCCACCAGACTCCTCATTCATGGTGCTTTGTCTCTGCCCCCATAACAGAACATGAGCAGAATTCACAGTCTCCACCCCAGCAGGCATGCTGGGGGACCCTGCCAAGTACTGGTCTGCCCTGAAACTGCCCTATTTTTTTTACTATATATAGCAATAAACAACCAACTTAAAATATAAAAAGGAAAAAGATTCTGTAAAAGAAGATGATATAAATCTATAAGTGATGTTAATGTTTAAGGATGCTGCATACAGATATGAGAATGGGTTTTTTTTTTCTAAGAAGACACTGGACAAGACATTGGACATGAACATAAAGATGACCAGACAGTAGGTCAGTCTATGGTAGAGTGTTGTGAAGGATGATTTTGCAGTTCGTAAGTGGTCTCCAGTTCAGGTAGGAGTCCACCACAGTTCAGATGAAGGCATGAAGCTCCGCAGGCCGTTGGACCTCCGTGGGCTGCAAAGACCAGAATATTCACTGTTTGAGCAGCTGAAGTTCTTGGCTAGCTGTTGCTGCTGGATGCAGGTGTTAATGCAGGTGTCTTGCACTAGTCTCACAGTTGTTTACAGAATTGGATAAAAATATCGATTTTCAGATTAACTGCGGTTCAATTATCAGTTCTTGAAATCCTGAAATAAATAAAAAAGAAATAAAATGTGATAATAGTAAGGTCTAGACTTAACTTTGTAAAATGTCCTGAGATGACTTTTGTTGTGATTTGGCGCTATACAAATAAATTCAATTAGAATTACAATTAGAATATCTATTTGCATATTTCCTCATCAAATTTGTTGTGACAGTTTGACAAATAAACTTATTTGGATGCCAGCCAAGGTGCTACCATTGTGTTTTTAGAATGTCATGTATAGTCAGTTTAGTCTGTAAAGTAAACTCCCCACAAAGAATGCAGTGCAAAGCAAATACTTTAAGGAGTCCATGACATGCCTTTACTTGTTTTCTGACTTATCTACAATGTTACAATGGTGAATTATAATCTTAAATGTGACCTAAAGCTCAAAAAATGAGGTGTAGTTATGTTTTTCTAGTTCTATGCAGAAGCAACTCAGTTTTTACATGTCTCGCTCAGGAGACTTTTTTTCTATTAAAATAAAGTATAATTTAAGGATTTCCTTGAATGGTCATAATCTCCAGGCAGTTGCGCGCTCAGATGAGCTTGCCTGACATCCACCGGTGCCATTTTCAACTGCACATGGTTTTGTGGATATAGTTTACTTCCTGCTGCTACACTGTGACCAGAGGGTGTGGGAGAAAATACAGGGGCAGAGGTTACTGCATGTCTGGTAATGATCCTGTACAGGGACTCACTCTTTTACCGGACTGAGTCTAACCTATGATCTGCTGGCCTGTGAAGCACCCCAGGCCGGGGCGGTGAATGATCAACTCATCAATGCTGGATTCCCCCGGAGCACAGTACCTGTTAGTTTTGACTGCTAGAGGCCAGTATATCTGTGACATGTCTGTTAATGCTTTGTTTATTTAATGTTTGAGAGAATTTTTGTGAGGCTGGAGAGGTTACTATGTCTGCATTATGCCAGTTAAAATATGGGGTTTAGTGTTACACATCTCTTTTCATTGGTACATATTCCGTTGTTTACCTATCTATGCGTGACCTCTTTAAAAGACGAAAGATCAGAAAGGTGGCCCCCTCCTGTCTGAAAGTGTGCACTGATCAGCTGGCCCCCATCTTCACACTTATCTTCAACAGGTCACTAGAGCTGTGTGAAGTCCCCTCCTGCTTCAAATACTACACCATCATTCCAGTCCCCAAGAAAACCTGTAGTTATGAAGTGCTTTGAAAGACTGGTGTTGGCCCACCTGAAGGACATTGTAGACCCCCTGCAGTTCGCCTACCGGGCTAACAGGTCAGTGGACAATGCAGTGAACATGACACTGCATTACATCCTGCAACACCTCGACTCCCCACGCCCTCTTTGTGGACTTCAGCTCAGCGTTCAACCCCATCATCTCGGACATCCTCCACTCCAAACTGCCCCAGCTCACCGTGCTAGCT